AACAAGAAGGGAGGTCGGCGGCTTCAGCGGTGTTCGCAAAAAACTGTGTCCGATTTCAGTTCCATGAATTAAGCGTCGAACACCGCTGTGCATTCGCATGTTTAAAATGGCCGCGACCTCGTGTTCGTGATACGAATGGCGGCCACCCAGCATTCGTCAATTAAGCTGCGGTTAACCGCAGCTTCAGGGAGGTTAATTGCTGGCACACTCCAGCTCCCAGGTGGTCTATTCATTCGTGCGGTTGTTCGGCAGATTGAATCTACTGAACAACCGGCAGAAAAGCATGAATAAAGCTTTTCTGCAGGCAAAACAAAGTCTTTTAACATGGGGCCATAGTCCAGCAGGCGAGCAACCAGGCTTCTCCAATGCAATGTGGCGAGATTGGTCTCGTCACACATTGTAAGATAAAAATGGAATGGAACTGTGAATGATTGTGTATATATATATATATATATATATATATATATATATATATATATATATATATATACACACACACATATACATACATACATACATATACACACACACACACTTTTTTTTTTTTTTTTTTTTAAGATCTCTATATGAAATTAAAAATGAGATCTGCACAAAAAGGAACATGGGCAAAGCACCACTAAATGAATCTGAGACACCTACCTCCAACACAGCGGGACGGAGGGCAGCTCCAACCTCACCTGCACAGAAAAGACTGCGACGGCGAAAACTCGGCACCCGCGTCAAGCGGCGGACCACCCAAAGCCTCCACAGTCTCACGACGGGGAGGGACTTGACAACCCAGAGTCCGGGACCACGGATTCCAGAAGCAAACCCGCTCTCAAGCCCAGAGAAGCCAAACCAACACACTGGCACACCTCCCTCATATAGCAAAACCCAGAAGCTCACCCACTGTACACACACACACATACATATACATATATACACACACATACATACACACACACACACGCTGTTGGGGCGTTCGAAAATGTCATGTACCTACCTGCACAACAATTTATTAAATGTTGAGTGCTGAGTACTAAATACTTTTTCTTACATAACATTCTAACATTTTAGATTAGCTGTGTAATAGATGATAATGAGCAGCTATACAAGTATCTTATGTTTTTGTAAATTGATTGTCATATCTTCATCTGATGATGACCCTGAATGTATAGATAAAGGTCAGTAAACTCTTAATCTATTAGTATATGGTAAAAGTCTGGCAATAAAATAAAATATTTAGCAGAGACTGGCATTTACATAATAAGTATCAAAATACCTTCAGATAAATATTGCTTGATGTCTACGTTGAATAAATACTATTTTGTGTGGCAATCTTGTTTGCGTGATTTCTATTTAAGGAGTACTATAGGGTCTGGAATAAAAAAATGTATTCCTGACCCTATAGGGTTAGAACCACCATCTAGCCCCCATGGCCTCCCTAAATATAGCAAAATCTTACTTGTATTCAAGTCTGGAGCTGCTTGCGTGTCCCTCTTTTAGACCTGCCCACTACCTGCTGACATCAGCAGAAGTGGTAGCCTGATCCAATCACAATGTTTCCCCATAGGATTGGCAGAGATTGATAAAGAGGCAGATCAAGGGCAGAGCCAGCACAATTCAAACACAGCCCATGCAAATCAGCAACTCCTCAGAGATTAATTGAATCAATGAATCTCTATGAGGAAAGTTCAGTGTCTGCATGCAGAGGGAGGAGATACTGAATGTTTGGATGCATTTTAGGCAGCCATGACCCAGGAAGGATCTCTAAACCGCTATCTGAGGAGTCGCCAATGAAGTTATCACCAGGCTGTAATGTGAACACTGCATTTTCTCTGAAAAGACTGGGCTTACAGCAAAAAGCCTAAAGGTAATGATTCTACTCACCAGAACAATTTCAATAAGCTGCAGTTCTGGTGACTAGTGTCCCTTTAAGCTTACAAGAAAAAAAAAAATAAAACCACTCCACATTGAATTCTTACTACTTGTATTTTGTGACCTGTAATTAATAAATAAAAAAATAAAATAAACAGTAACCCTAGACATGTACTCTGTAAATCAGGACAAATGCATTTATTTTGAGACACTTTTCTTAAACTGCACTAATTATACACACTATATTATGGGCTAAACGAAAAAAATATTTTTGTTGTTGCATTTTACGTGTATTTTTTTTTTTTTTTAGACTGAGAATTTATATATGTATAATGACATCAAATTTTTGTCCTTAAAAACAAAACAAAAACAAAAAACCCTCCTCCCCCAGTATAGAATGTGTTTGTGCATTAAATGTGAAAGATGGACAAAAATTGTGTTGGTCCTTAAGTTAAAAAAAAATTAAGCGTGGTCCTTAAGGGGTTAATATTTTGTTTACATATGTGTGAAATTTGAAATTAAATGCATCAATCTACATCTCTTCCCAACTGACTCGTGAAAACAGACCGCAGCAATTTCATTCAGTTATTTTACCCATAATTCTGTGCAGCATTGAAATCATGAGAGTATGCATGTTTATTGTTTATGCAAAGTTGGCAGATAAACATGATATAAAGTACATACATATAACAGAAAGAAACACACCTAAGCATGGTTTTCACACTACAAACTCAAGAGCAACTCAAACCTTTGAGCACTATTCATTGACTTTTTTTTTGTTTGTTTTTTCAGTTTGATTTTGCAGGATGTACGATCACTATAGTATACAGACATTTAGAACTAACCTACAGACTGTCTCCAACAATAATGGCATCTTACTCCATTCAGAGTAATTATTTCTCACAATTTTTAAAAAATGTTTTTTTTAAAAAGCACTGTGCAGTTCATACAAGCCAATCTGTGGCTTGAGTGTCTCCAAGGCAACACAAGAACAAGCCAGTTATAAATAGGATAAAAAGGATATCTCACATACTTCTACACAATTATCACAGAAGCAAACCATTTATTCCGTTCTCATGGCAACAGATAAAAATGGAAGTTTAGATGGAGATATAAAACACTAAATGGACAAAGTATTAGGAAGCACCTCATAAAAGACCACTCCACTCTTGCAACCCACCCCACCCACACAGTTTAGTAGATATACCCCAATGAATACATACGTATATTTTTATGCATGTATTCATTGGGAGCATCGTCCAAAATAGATTGCAAAAGCTGCAGTTCTTGTGCCCGACACTTGCTGAGCTAACTGAAGTAAGAAGGAATCATTGTTGGAGTTCCCCCAATTAATTTATAAAGAGTGCTGAATTTCTTCTAGAAAACAACATTTTTATAAACTCGGGTTAAATGAGGGTACTCCTCACCCATAAAGCAGGTCCTTTAACCCCTTAAGGACACATGACATATGACATGTCAAGATTCCCTTTTATTCTGGAAGTTTGGTCCTTAAGGGGTTAAGTTACTGAATTCAGGTTTCAATCAGACTAATTGTCACAAGAATTGATTTATTATTATTTTTCCTTTTTTAAAATGGCGTCGTTCTGATTAGTCAATTAGTCAATGAGTTCAAGCATGGTACTGTGACAGGAAGTCACCTGTGCAATAAAATCGGTTCAAGAAGTTTAATCTCTGCTAGATATTCCACTGCCAACTGTAAACTGCATTACTGGAAAGTGGAGCAACTCAGCCACAAAGCGGGAAAGGGTGGAGTCACTGAGTGCTGAGGCACATGGCGTGTAAAAAAAAGACGCCACGCTCTATGATTCCCCATAGATAAAGAGTTCCAAACTTTCACTGGCATTAATATAAACACAAAAGCTGTGTGATGGGAGCTTCATGGAATGAGCTTCCATGGGCAAGCAGCTGCATGGAAGCCTCACGTCACCAAGTACGCCACCACTGGACTTTGTACTAATGGAAACGAGTTCTGAGGATTGACTAATCAAACTCTGTTTTGCAGTCTGACCAGCGAATCTCTTTGGCGAATGCCAGGAAAATATTAACTGCCTGACTGCATTGTGCCAACTGTAAAGTTTAGTGCAGGAAGGATAATGGTATGAGGCTGTTTTAAGGGGTTGTCAGGAACACAAACATGTGTTTGTGACACTATAGAGGTAAGCTTTCTCCCTTGCCTCCATTGGAAAGGCAAAACGCAGCAATGCGCAAATCAGCATCTCCTCATAGCAAAACACTGATTTAATGCAGCTCTATGGGGAGCGTGCAGCATGGAGATGCTGAACCCTGTGCAGCACTGACACAGGAAGGACCTCTAGTGGTCATCTGAGTGAATGCCACTGGAAGAGTTACTAGGCAGTAATGTAAACAGTGCTTTTTCTCTGAAAAGGCAGTGTTTACATATCAAATGCTGCAGGGATAGGCTATATGCACCAGAACACCTACATTAATCTATAGTTCTAGTGACTATAATGTCCGTTTAATGCTTCTGCATTCCAAGACATTTTGGACAATGCTATGCTTTCAACTTTGTGGGAATAGTTTTGGGAAGGCCCTTTTCTATTCCAGCATTACCGTGCCCCAGTGCACAAAGCAAGGTCCACTAAGACATGGCTGGATGAGTTTGGTATGGAAGAACTTGACATGCACACACAGAGCCCTGACCTAATCTAATCTAACACCTTGGGGATGAACTGGAAAGGATATTGCGAGTCAAGTCTTAAGTGCCTGACCTCTCAAATGCTCTACTGGATAAACAGGCAAAAAGTCCCATAGAAATTCTCAAAATCATGTGGGAAGCCTTCCCAGCAGAGTGGAAGCAGTTATAGCTGCAAGGGAGGACTCACTACACTTGTCTATGTAGAGTTGCAAGAAAAAGTATGTGAACCCTTTGGAATGATATGGATTTCTGCACAAATTGGTCATAAAGTGTGATGTGATCATCTAAGTCACAACAATAGACAATCACA